CAGCCCCCTGTGAGCAGAGGCCAGCAGGGGGAGCAGGGCAGCCCCCTGTGAGCAGAGGCCAGCAGGGGGAGCAGCCCAGCTACCTGTGAGCGGAGGCCTATCAAAAGTACCCCAAGTCTATGATGAAATCCCACAAAAAGGAGGAACACTAACTACTTTTATCTGACAGGAAAGTAATGTCCTGATCTTATAAAAACCATAAACGGTATGGAAAACTAACAATGACAAAAATTCCTCAGAAGCCCACAGTACATTCAAGTAGCAAAGAAGTCATAATAAAATTTAAAGCAAAGACAAGAAAATAAAACAGATACACTAAATGGAATAAAGATAAAGCATGAGAGTGGGTTTCTTTTCAGAAATAAGGGAGGCAGAATATAATGCAGCAATAAATTTTTCCCTTCCTGTATCAAGGGTTTTTATTACTGGTCTTCCTTGTCGATACTGTCTTCAACAATGTTAGCACACCTTTCAGGCTCTAGAAAGCTGCCAACCTAGACCGCCATACTTAAGAAAATTAGATCTTAACACTGAATGTGAAGCAGACATGGCCGGACACACTAGGAATCCAACAATCAAGGTACTGAGGCCAGAGGATTTCAATTTCTGGGTGAGCCTGGGATACACAGTAAGACCCTGACTACAAAACCAGCCACAGAGATGGCTCAGAGGCTAAGTGCACTTGCTGCTCTTGCAGAGGACCCGAGTTAGGTTCCCAACACCTGTGTGGTACTCCCAACCACATGTAACTCCAGCTCCAGGGATCCAACAACTTCTCCTGGCCTACAGGGGCATTATGCACACACACGGTATATAGAATACACAAAGGCAAAAGACTCACATACTGACACACATAAAAATAAGTAAATCTTTTTTCAAAGCTGCTTTTTTAAAAAAAAATCCAGTAGCCAAAATAAGGCAAAATGAATAAAGTAGAAATCGATAAAATATTGTAAGAAAGAATAAATTAATGGTAAATTTAAGCCCAATCATATCAGTAACATTTAACACAAATGAGCTAAACACTCCAAAATAACTATACCAAAAAAGATATATCATCGTAAATAAGTATATGAACTTATGCTTAGTTGTATTAGTCATCACGGAACTATAAACTAAAACCACTACACACCCTGCAGAATGGGGAAAGTTAAAACACTGCTCAAGCCAAGGTGGACCCGGCACCATGGAAACTACTATATACTGCTGTTGGGGACACAGCCACTTTGGAAAAGAGTTTTGTAATTTCTTAAAAAGCTAGGCATGCACTTATCATACAAACCACCATCTCTACTCCTCAGCTTTTACACAGAGACATGAAATTACACCCAAACAGACCTAGAAATATGAATATTCACAGTTGCTTTCTTTGCCAGTACTGGCCAAACAGCAAAAACAATTCAAATGCCTATGATAAATAAATTGTGCCATACACTTACATAAGAATACAGCAAAAGAAAAAACAGGACTAATAAATTTAGTTAATAAGAATAAATTTCAAAAGCACTGTTTAAAGAAGCCAGACAGAAAAGATTGTACTATATGACTTTATTATGCTAGATCTGATGAAAAGCCAAAGTGATAGAAGACATGCATCAGTGTTGTCACAGAATGGTGCCCATAGGGGACTGACTGCAAAGGGACATAGGAAACTTCTGCAACTTGTGGAAATGTTATATACAATTACAGCAACATACTACCAATGGTTCAAAAGAAGCTTTCCATGGTAAAGAGTAATTGCTAATTTGATAATTTTGGCCAGATTCACTCACGATTCAACATTGCACCTGCACATCATCTGGACTCGCAGTTTTTAAATGTGACCTTGCGACTGTATTGTCTTCATAACAAAATGCGCTTGGAACTGGACCACCTTGCCCTTTCTCTTCTTACCTCTGCTCACATCTTTTAATAAGCAGCACTTAGACCTCCAGTGGGGCTCTGCACACTTCAGCCTTAGCTCAGCCTTCTCTATAGTCTTAGCCTTCTGTGGAAAATAGCTCAGTCTGCCCACTATAAGCACTCTGCTTCTCATGAGAACCCCACCTTCCCCAGGCAGACAGGAAATAGCTGTCCTCCTTACACACCGTGTCCCTTAGTGGGGCTGGTGCTTGGCACATTTCTTAGACAAAGTCCATTGAGTCTTAAGAGCATCCATCATATTTGGTATGGCAGTATCAACACAGATGGAAAGCAATCTTCCAAATTTTTCGAAGCATTTAATATAATTTTCTTTTATATTTATTGGAAGAAAGGGAAAAGGGCAAAGTAAAGGATCTGAAATGTACTTACTTGGATAGATAATGTCGGCAATCTCAAAGTCATTCACCCGGCAAATGGGCATAAACGAATCTCTTAAGGATGCAGAACAGAGGAGAGCAGGGACGTTAGATACTAAAGTCCATGAATTCATGAATTCAAACATCTTATTTTCAAACATATTTTTGAAGCTATTTCTCTGTGTTCTAGGACCAAGTAAAAGGAAAGCCTACTCCAGTGCACAGTCCTGCAGCGCTGACATCTGCTTCTATAGTGCATTAGCATTCATGCCTACTTCTTCCTACATGTTACACCAATAGTCATGCAGGATCAAGGCAGTCATAGACTCTACCCAGCAGTACGTATTCTAGATGACACTAAGACTCTTCAAGAACACAAAGCTAACAATTGCAGACTTAGGGCATTTTAAACCTCATGTCAGAGCACCCTGAGAAGTGTTAGTATGGAAAATGAAAAGAGTCACCCTTACTCACAGGTAAAAGAACAAATTGCTGACTGGTAAGAAGCCCTCCATTATATGTGGATACGTGACTTCTATGTTCATCGGCATCTGAATGAGATAAATCATGAAATCTAAGTCGCAAGTCAGTCAGACAAGATGAGAAGCACCTTGAGCTATAAGAAAACTTAATCACAGGATAGGATCAAAGGATATTAATTCATTATCACGAAATCTGGAAACAAGACGATTCGAAGTCCACAGCTAGAGTCAGCAGTAATATATGATGTTAGTTCCAGATGAGCACTTAATAAACAAAGATTTTTAAATGATTGGAAATAACATCAGGCCTAATGCTCTATTTTGCTGTTTTGACCTTTATGATCTGCTTCAGAGGGACAAGGGACACCTCATTTTGTAAAAACTAAAACCTTGCAAAGTTCCACAGTAATCAGAGGGCAAACTCTTTGATCTTTAAGAACATCTAACCACAAGCCAAGAGTGGTAGGTGGTATCTATAATAATCCAAAGGAAGATATTGAGTTCACGGACAGCCTAGCCTAACAAAACAGCAATAAATAAATAAATAAATAAATAAATAAGAAAAGGAAAAAAGATACCACTGGTATCCTACAGATATTATATCTTCATGGATCCTCAGACAATGACTTGATAATTTCATCACAAACATAATCAACCAAGAAAAATGGTATTCCTTACTAGAACTATCTGGTTTGCCTCATTTCAATTACATTAATCTTACTGCCTATCTTCCATTTTAATCTTAGAGACTGTCCTACAAAAAAAAAATTTTTGTTTCTGAAGTCTTGGCAGGTGTTTATTAAAGTCTCTGAAGCAGACCTACATATCTGCAAACACACTGTATATAATCCATAATTCCCAAGTGTTGTTCGGTCTTTCATTAGTTTCTATCTTACTAAAGATTCTCATGTATGATACTCTTTGCCTAAAAGTCCTTTGTAAGTAAGATCAATTTTAGATGTGTTGGAAATAAAGTCAAGCAACTCTCAACCTTTTGGGCATCGTGCACTGTGCATAGAACTGCTGTAACAACACAAGCAAACCTGTGTTTGACTTCTTAACTCACCATGTAGAAGTGCTCCAGCCGGACTCCATACACTAGCTGTAAGGCTCTCATGTAAATCATGTACAAGACTTCAGGCTATAACAGAAGAACAACTGTCAAGGTCTTATGCAGAGACCTGTCATGACCCTCGCCACCATCCAATGCTACAGTCAGTGAATGTAATATAAAGAACGCGGGAAAAAAATCACCTACCTTCCCTCAAAATACTTTATAATTTCTCCAAATGTTACGGCACCTTGTGGTACATATCAGTTTGTTCATATGTAGTGACTAACCAAGGGAAATGGTTACTTCTGAGTAAGAATTAGTCTATCAAAATCCAACACAATCAATCCAGCCACCCCAGGCAGGGAGACACATGAATCTTCCAGAACTCTGTCAGGAATATGGAAATGCTGGAACACTCAGGATTTTATCTTTATTTTTTAAAGAAAGATCATGGGGACTACCCTGATGCTGCTATAGGTGGAAGGTCATCTCCGATTTCAGATTAGTTGCAACACTTGGAATATTGACTATAAAATTAATGGAGAAATAACTTGATTTTAAAACCTTATCTTCTGAGTCAGTAGATCTCAAATGCTGGCCCAAGAAGTTGTCTGATCTGAACTCAAGCTTATTGGGTAAACAGAAAGGCCTGAGATACACTGACAATGTGGTAATGGTCCCTAGCACTGTATGATTCACCGTATAAGTCTAACGTCTACTCTGAGGCCATTCCTTCCATTGTAAAGACCTGACATGCTCTGAGATAAACAGCGCTTGCATTCTGTATTATATATAAAAGGAATCTTCCTACTTTATAACTTCAAGGCCAACATAGGAAACTGGAGGGAGACTTTGGGATTTTGCTATGACACATAAATAGCTCATTTTTGCATTTAATAACCAAACATATAAAGAATAACACCTGTCAAAATAAGTCAATTCCCACCTGGGGCATAATGTAAGAAAATTAATCTACACACTTCCAAAGAAGACTGTAAGCATGCATGTGTTGTGTGGGAAACCATTTGGAATAAATCCTGTCAAGCTCCCCAATAAATGATACCCTCATACCACCACTCCAGCAATAATAAAAAATTTAATATACTTTAATATATCTATGGTTTAAAGCCTTTTTTTATTCTTTAAGGAAACAACTATATTAAAGAACTGAGTTCCCAACGGGAATGTAGAAGGTACCTCACATATAAACTTAATGTTATTTTAAAATTATACCAGGTGAGAGATTTTTTTCCTAGATTAAAAATGACTGGCTTGCAACAAATGAGGGCACATGCCTCTCTTCCCATACTACACACTTAGTAGTGTACTTTTCTTCAGTATCAGTAACCACATGCAAAGACAAGCACATTTTACCTTCGGATTTGGAAGAAAATCGCTCTTCGATAGGTTTTTGCCATCTGCTCCTGTTAATAATTTATTGCGAATATGAACTACAATCTCAGCTACGTTGTATCTGGGGAATGACAACGTTTCCATTATGGGAGTCTCCTCCTAGACAAAAGAAGAAAGAAATAAAAAATAAAGAAGATAAAAATAAAGATAAGAACATACACAATCAATAGTTCTTATTATCTGGAAACTCATACTTAAGAGAAAAAAAATGAACAAGATATGGCTGTACTGTTCATAGTAGTGTTATCATTAAATATCTGAGCAAGGTAAGGAATTTTAAGCCAGGCATGGAAATGCACACCAGTGATCCCAACACTTAGGATGTAGAAGTAGGAGGGTCGGAAATTCAAGGTAATAATCATATGTAAAATTCTAGGCCAGCTGGGACTACATGACACTGTCGTCTGTCTCAAAACCAAACAAAAAAAGATGAATTTTATTCATACACATACACAAACACACAATGAAATAAAGATGGTATCTTATCCTGAAATAACTTTTATAACAAAGTAACAGCCATTTTCTGTGAATTCTCCTCATGTTTTCTTCCATAAGGGATAGAGGCTTTGAGTTGACATACAATAGAAAAATTATACTGTTCTCTTTGTATATAAGGATCAGGGCATTTAACATTCTTAGCTAAGAACTATTTCTCAAAGCTCAAGGCAGGCAGTATCAGCAAAAGCTAGATACAGGCAATACTAACACAAGGTAAAAAATAAAATTGGATTTTATTTGATTGCACTGATATCCGCAACATACACTATTCGTATTAGATGACTGATATACACATCGTATTAGATGGCTAATACAATTGAAGATTCAAGCAGGAGAGAGAGCTGGGGGAAAAAGGAGAGGAAGAGGTAGACAAAGAGTGGGAGAGGGCAGCCTTAATTTAAAGCAGAAATCCCTTTCAGCAGAGCAAAAACTTAACACATAAAACAGCAAAAGCCCATTTGTCCTCATGTGTGCAGATAATAGATTATTCCCACTGGTGTCCTCTTAAAACAGTACCATAGTCATAATTCCATCTCCTTTACACACCTCAGGACACAGCCATCAATGCTTAGAGACAGTTTTAGTTGTCAGGACAAAAGCCCAATGGCTAGAGGTGAGGCATTCTGCCAAATTCCCCAGAATGGCTGGTGGCCTCTCACTGCAGCGCTGCCTGTCCAAAAGGCCACTACTTCCCAGTGTGAACAGAGACCCAGCAGTTCTGCAAACACACTGACATCCTTATGGCTTACGAGTTCAGAAGTCTACTTTAGGCTCTCACTGTTTCTTAGAACGAGTATGCCTAAAAAGAAGCTCCAGCAGAGCGCTTGCCTATCCTCCCAATAAACGGAAAATGCCACCACGATCAGCTAATGCCCTGATCCTGTTTGAACCCTTCAAAACACCACAGATCCAGGAACCCTAAAGACCATTTCTTTCTACTCTAGTATGGCTCTAATACTTAGAAGACGCTTCCCTACACCACTGAGAAATGCTGCAGTGCCCACACTACTGATCTATTTTTCGTCCCAGCAACTGAACAGAACATCAAATCCCTACTTACAGGAGACTGCTTTCAAAAGTAATGTGAAGAAAGCAGTGATGTCCCTTCTGAGCTCCTCTATTAAAAGATTCAATGCTTCAAAACATGGGGCCAGTCCTTTATGACACTATTTTTGGAGACCTTACCATTTGTAAGAGAGATGAATACACCTTTTCCTACGCATGCCAATCAAAATTAGTATAGTTTGTACCTAAAATGGGAGTGGTTTCTGGCAAGAATTATGCAGTAGACAGCACGAGGTGTCTGAGCATTACGTTCTAACACTACCTCCAGGTCAGTGTCAGCACCCACAGGCTGAGGCTTTAATCCTCATCCTGCTCCCATTTGACAGGATGCTCACAGGTTGCTTTACTTACGCTTCTGACAGCCTGCCTACTACATTCCACAGTTCCTACCATGCCCTCCTTAGACTTGATTCATCTGCTAGAGAAGCTCAGCCATAAGGGAATACCTACTGGTTTCCTACAGAAGATATTATGAAGGATGAACACCAGATGAAGAGACAACCAGGGTCACGAATGATGGAGGGACTTGCAACCTATAGGAACCACAAGGTGTCTAGCTATCCCAGAGTTCCTCAAAAACAGCCCTTTAGGGTCCGTTCTTTCTTTCTTTCACAAGTTTTATCATGTAGGTATGATTGATTTAATCTGGGCTTTTTTGTTCAATATTCTCAGGTCAACTATTTCTTAAACGTCAAGCTTTCAGAGGAGAAAAAAGTAAATAAAGCATTCAATATTTTCCATTTGCATCTCAGTTTTTGAAACTGTTTTTAAGAACATTACAAAGGGGTTACTTGAAAAAAACAAGCTACATCTAGATTAGAGGTAGATAACAACAGAAAAAGTGTGTCTATAGAATCATAATCACACACATCTCTCTGCTGATGTTATATACACTACTGTCAGGCTAATCCTTGTAAAACATCAAACCCTTACAAACATACAAAGGGCTTACCTACTACACAAATCCCAACCTTTTCCACTTAAGTTTCCAAAGCCTTTAATAACTTCATGCTCTTTCTGGTCCATGTTAATGTCTTCTAAGGCTTCTCCCAAACATCCGATGTTTTGTTACACCTGCCTGGGAATTTCTGAGGACGAGTTTCCCAACCTAAAGCTACCCAGAGGCTCACACCTGCACTTAGAAGAAATAGTGCCCTCTTCTCAGAAGCAAATTGTGTTCATTTTAATAGTGCAATTTCAGTTCTAACTAGTGTGTGTGCTGTGTATATAGACAGAGGAAGAGGCCATCTAAGTAGATTTACTATATACTTTATATACAGTAAAACGGCTCTCTGACATGTTAGTTCAAATAGGACAATTACCTCTAGGAGCCCCCACTTCTCCTTTATTTGTAACACTTCAATGCTAAGCACAGCACAACTGACATTATATAAAACCGGTTTTGCAATGCAAAATTAAGCAAGCAATTCCCAATTCTGATTAATTAGATAAAACGTTCCTTGAAAATACGGGGAGGGCTTTGTGTTACACCTATGTAGAGTAGAGTACATTCAGCTCCATGACTTTTGGATTATGATAAATGGTTCTTGATTTAATCAAGAGACGGTGGCGCAATAGAGATACAGGAAAAAAAATCGGCAAGCAATCATAACCAAACAAGTCAGACACTACTCTTGTGGCTCACGCCTGTAATGTCAACACTTAGGAGATGAAACCAGAAGGATTAGGAGTTCAAGACTAGCCTCGGGAACATAGACAGTTCGAGACCAACCCAGGATAGATGAGACCCTGTCTCAAATCAATACACAAGTTAGCGAACCTAGGTGCCCCGACCCTTGGCCTGCACTGGGTCCTCCCGCGCCCGCCCGCTGCTCCAACTCACCGGGAGTCCCAGCCGCTCACGGAAGAGCAGCTACCAAGCGAGCGACCAACCAAAAACCACGGACCGTTGTCACTTTTCAAACCAGCCGCCTTTCTATGCGAGGCCCGCCCCTTTCCGTACAGCGCGCTTCCTTCGCGACGGATGCCTGGAAGGCTCAGAAGACCCACGATGGGTGGGACTTAACGAGTGGCGCAGCAAGCCGGGCTCCAGGTCAGCGGAACCATTCTTCAGAGTGTTAGTTTCTAGTCGGAACCGCGACTCCGCCGGACCAGGAAGCGCAGCAGCTAGGGGAGGAGCTCCAGGAGGTGTTTACTCAGTTGTCCTAGACTTTGGAAATTTGTCTTCAGCTTCCCAGTTAGCGAGCAGACAGACGGTTTCTAGCCCCTTCTGTTAGGCTCAGAGAGTAACAAGGGATAGAGAATGTGTTCTCAAATTAATCAAAGTCATTATAGGGAATCTAGGAGTAATAGTAACAATGTCGCTGATAAGCATTACATCATTTTACTTAGGGTTCATGAAAGCCTGAGGGCGGGGACGCGAATGGATGTATAGACATTGTTAAGGGCGTCCAATTTAAATCTTTAATTTACTCATTTTGAGGACTCAATATAGGATAATAAATCCAAAGGCGTAAACGTAGAGGAATATGATTATACACTTGCCGAACATCTCATGAGAGAAATCACTAGTTCATCTCATCGGTGAGCCATTTGTGGTTTGCTGACATTATAGGTAACAAAGAATACATAGAACTCTCTATTCACGAGTGTTTTAATATCCTTTGAGTACCTTTACTACTTGATTTTGAATAAATAGGAAAGATTAATTGTTATATTCTTGAGCCAATATTATAGAACATAATTTCATATAAATAACTGGAACATGAAAAATTGAAAATACAGTGCAATTTAACATGGAAAATACTTGACAACGTAGTTGTATATCCAGTATATTCACTGGGTGGCGCTGCTGTCTTGATTTTAACATTACTGAGACTTTCATTCCAGTTCATTTTACGTAAGTAATCAGAACTACAATGATAAACATTGGACACAATGTTCTGGATTTTAAAAAAAATTCTAAATTTATGAGCTTTAAAATACATGTTTACAGTCCTGGCTCCCTGGCTCAAAAAGAAAAATAGCATTTAATTCAAGTAGTTGTCTGCATTTTTTTCTCTTTAATCATTCTAGGCTTTTTAATCTCCTTGCCTCCTCAGCCACATTCAACTTTAGGAGAGATTTTGGAAAGATTTTGGAAATTGAGCTATACATTTGAAATACTTTATGCAGTATTAGTCTGAAGCTATAAAATGCCTAATGTTTGCTGTTTGGGATAAACTCTAAATAAATGTAAGGAGGCACAGACCTGGCATTGTGCTCTAACCCCTTAGAATACGTTCCTCAACTTGCACATGAAGTTATTTTAATGTAGCTTATATAGACATCCTTCTGAATCATCATTCAAACAGATTTAATATCGTGAAAATATTTGCTCAGTGTGATTATTAATTCAAATTTTATGTTCCAGTAAATTTCCAGTACTGACTTTATGATAGCCTGTGGTGTTTACAGTATTTCAAGGGAGCTGACAAGGATTTCTCAGAAAAATGTTAAAATTAATGTGTTCTTCAAACCACGGTTGTGCTCGCCTCTAATGTCAGTACTCCACAGGAAGAGGCAGGCGGATCTCTATGAGTCCGAGGCCAAGCCTGGTCTACATAGTGTCAACCTGATCTACATGGTGAGTTCCAACTAGAGCTATCTATAGTGAGACTCTCAAAACAACAAAAAAGAATAAAAATTAATATGTTCTAATTTTAAAATGAACTCTTTAAGTCAGAATTAGTTGTACATGTCTATAATCCTAGCACCCTGAAGGTAGAAGCCGGGATCACTATAAGTTTGAGGTCAGCATGCTCAACAGCAAGTGCTAGGAGACTCTGTCTCCAGGTAACGACAATAAAGGAATCAATTATAACATACATTTTAGGAGTGTGTCTTATCAGGAGTCTTATAGAAAGGGTATATGTGTACTATAAGTGAGAGTAATCCATTTCTTTACTGTTAGGCAAGTCTCTTGGTCCTTGAGGCTAGATAGTCTAAGGTCAAAATGTCTGGTGTGGGCAGGGCCCTGGTTCATGGTTGGCCTTTGGTAGGGGTGTGCTCATGAAGAGATCACCTCAGGAACTTTGGAAAATTCCACCAGACCCCTCCCCTGCAGAAGGGAGAGGCTACATTCCTCAGACCACAGTGGGTGGGGACCAACCTGCTAGTGGACGACGAGGAGAGGCCCAGAGCATGTCCAGATTCCACAGGACCAGATCATTGGCCATGCACAGACAAGGAAGGTCTTTGCTGCCTCATTCTCCAAAGACCAATCAGTTTAAAAAGTCACACTGTTCTGCCAATCACATTGTGCCTAATGGCGGCTGCCCTAAAGATTGTATAAAAGCTCATTGAACAAGCAGTGCGGGATGGATTCTCCTTTTGGATGCAGAATGTCCCCAGCATGCTGGAACATTAAAATTTCTCTTGCTTTTTGCAGTGATTCTTGACTCCAAGTGGTTCACTCGGCTTCTGGTAAACAAAGGCTCTCAGAGTCTTACACTTACATGATGGAAGGGCAAATGATTTCCCCACTCAACTCAATAATGAAGACTTTACCCTCAGGAGGTGATTACTTTTCAAAGGGCCCATCTCCTTGTATGATCACCTGGGAAATTGGGATTCAAACATGAATTTGGGGAAGCCACATCATAAAAATAGTTATAAAATGAAATCACTAATAATACTAGTAATCAGAATTGGCTCAAGGGACATCTTGCTTGTCATCCTGCTGTCACCATTCACGTGGATTATTTTAGGATCATGACTACTCTTATCTAAACTGAATCTTCTTTTTAAAAAAAATAATTTATTTTTTTTCAAATCGTAATTCATTCACACGGGTTATAAACACAGAAAGGCAGGTTGTGGGGAAGGGAATGACACTGGAGTGTGGGTGTTCAGGGGGAATACAGATATCGATCAGAACTGGGTATCAGCTGGGTGAAGGTTCAGGGGACAAGTCACTATGACTCTGCCTATGACTCGCTTGTCCTTATCTAAGTTGGTATTGTCTGCCAAGGCTACCTATTTACAAGGTCTATGACTACTCGCACTTGTAAATTTCCACAAAAACTGCCTGTTTACATTAGCTTATAGCCATCTGTTTCAATGTTTTTCCACTGAGACACAAGACTTGGTGTTAGTATACATGTATGACAGGCCTATTGCTGATTTTAGGTCTATGGCTGATTTTAGGCCTTCAGTGTGTAAGCAGGGCTGCCCCTGACATCTCCTCCCTTCTCTAAGTATAGAAGGGCTGTGGCAATTCTAATCTTGCAAAGGCGGGGATAGAGTCCTGACCTCCAGTAATTGAAGGGGACTTTGTAATGGCTCCGGTTCCCCTGTCGTTATCCAGTGAGGCATTAAGGCCATAACCATCCCGATTTATTTTTCCTGGAGAGGGGATACTTTTGACATCAACCCTATGCAGTCAGGCTTGTCCCTCAGGGAACCCAGAGAGATATTTTTATCTTTTATTTATATTCCCTTGCAGTGCTTAGCCTCGCAGCCTAAGCAAGAATTCAGATCTTCTGTCAGAGGGGGTTTTGGGTGGCCCCGATCTGCTTGGTCTATGGGCAGAAGTCCCCCCTTTTAGGTTGGATGGAGATGGGTTTTGGAAACACCCTGTATAAAGTAGCAACCTCATCTTTAGTCTCGTGGTCCTCTATAGCTAACTTATGATAATGTATCTGAATAGGTTTTGCTACCAAATTATTTATCTGTTGTATCACAGAGTTAGTCTGCCTATTTGAGGCCCAGGGACCAGCAGAAATAAGCAAAAAGAACCCAAATAATGGTCCCAAGATGGGAGGAAATAGGGTTGACAACCTTGGAGAGGCTGAAAACCAATTCTTGTACCAGCATTCATCTGTCTCTTGCTCTCTCTGATTTTTCTCAGGGCCTTCACTGACCTATTTCATGCTCTCTTTAACCCTCCTTGTCTTGTCTATGCAAAGGCAACATTCTTCTTTAAGGGCTGTACACAGTCAAGAGCTGTACACAGCCTTTTCTATTGTTATAGAGTAAATCAAGTCCAATAAGGATGTTTGTGATTTTAGGAGGTCTCTTCAGACAGTGAAACGAGGGATTTCTTCAGATTAGTGTCAGTCTCTAGCTGTTTGATGTTCTTGTCAGTGGCCCTTCCTTCAAAGGTCTGAGTAGTATAAGTTCGGAGGCCAGCATCTGGATTAGAACTTCTAACAGCAGACATCACAGGTGATTCGTTTTTACCTAGAAAGGAAAAAGAAGGGAATTCTCAGGGAGATTTATCTTCCCTGGATGTAAATTGTTATTCATCTTATTTATGGTTGGGACTGGCTTTGTGGGGGTATCTATTTATTTCATTAATCTTTTTGGTAGCCGGTTAGCTGTGCCTTCTGTGGTATCAAACAGGCGTATCAATCCTCGGCCCCATAAGGGAACTGGGTCTGGGCCATTCCCTTTAAGGGTAAGAGGGCCCTTCCCCATATCTGTGGCAAAGTTTTGTTGGTCTCGGTGGTGCCAGAGGCAGTCAGCAGCAGATTTGCCATGAGCTTTCAGCTTTAGAGAGATAAAAGTGAACAAGGCATGATGGAGAGTATTTCAGGGGAACTCCTTCTGGGGGGATACCGTTCCCCCTCTTTTGTTTTTAAAGCCAATTTTTCAGAGTTCTTGTAAAATCAGGGCAGAAGTGCCAACAGTCGCTCCTTCCAGACTCAGAGAGTCATGAAACCCCATTTAAGAATATATAAATCTATATTAATAATCTTTTGTCAAAAGACTGTTATAGCACCGCCGACAACTAATCAGACTATATACTATATCGATTAGTAATAGCTTCTTCTACTTTTTGTGAGATTACCTCTCTTTTGTCAACTAATTGTTGAGGAAAATTAAGATTTACATCTCTCTTGAGAATATTGAACAGAGACTTAAATTATTTTGTGGAGAGCTTAAAATAGGATCTTAGCCAATTAGCAACTGCTAGAAACTTTTGA